ATACATAGATAGATAGATAGATAGAGAGAGAGAGAAACGTGTGAGATAGATAGGAAGAGGCTGAAGATCTATCTTTAGCCTCTTCCTAGTGTAAGATAGATAGATAGATAGATAGGAACAGTTTCAGATAGATAGAAAGATAATGAACAGAGATGGGAACAGATTGAAGATAGATAAATAGATAAGAATAGATTGAGATAGTGTTATGATGTTGATTTGGGGTTAGTAGAGACAAACGCCAAATAACACGTAACAATAAAAAGGGTTTTAATAGGTTGGTAAAAAGGTACAGAAATCGCCTGAGTAATCAATAACTAGCTCAGCTAAGAACTTCTCTGTCTATCTGTCTTTCCCCCATGTCAACTGACATGCCACTATTGAAAGTCTTTGTTCACAGACAAGTTCATCTTCAAGAGGGGTGGTAGGTTTCCGACACAACAACAGGGAATAACTATTTCTTGAATACTCCAAGTATCTGGGTTGAGCAAGTTCAGCAGTTCATGAAATATGTTGTCTGTTTTCTCGTACTTGTTCTTGGATGTTAAATGATCAATGTCGATCAACCTGTTTTTTCATATTTTTGATTATTACATCAAGTAACTTTTTACAAGGAAGGCAAACAAATCCATGGTTTTCAATTAAATGAATATCCTTAAATGCATCAGAATAAACACTATCATCAATTTCCTTTTCAAATGTCCCCCTGTACTTTTCTTTGAGTATTTCAGATGCCTTTATGGATCTTTAATAAGTTTTTTGGCTCTTGACAAAGTTAAACATCTAGCTTGAAGGGCATTAATCAGTAAAGAAATTTCTTGCAGTATAGCTATCATCAATGCCAAGTCATACAAGAAATATTTGTTGCAAAGACAGGCAGGCATTCCTGAATGTTTCGTCTCCCCTGAGAAATGTTTGTACAATGCTGTATAAACACGTCATACAGCAAGTGCAGATCACAAGCTACAAGCGACCCATCTTGGCCCCAGAAATCTACCTATCTTCAGAATTTGTTGTTCAAGTTTTTCAGACATTTTGACAAGTTCCATTTGGTTTTTGTTTGATTGGTGAAAGATTGTGTAGATATTATCCATGAATATTTTGAAGGGATTCACTTGTCTTATTTCACTAAAAGAATCATCCAAAACTAGTTGCAAACAATTATTTAAACACTGTCGGTTAGGAAAATTGTTTTTTTAATCTTGGGCCTACTCCAGAATTGCTGCCAACTATTACACTTGCTCCATCTGAACAGAAATCAATTAAATTATTTCTCAAATATTCATTAACAAATCCAGCACAATGCAAACAGTTTAACAAGGATTTATACATTGTTTTTGCTCCTTGTCCTTTCAATTCAACCAAATCCAAAAAATTGTTGGTGATAGATCGCAATCTTCTATCTTTAAAAAAATTACAAGTACAGGTTTATTGGATATGGTTGAAGTTTAATCAATGATGACACAAAATTTTTGTTCAATAATTTTAGTAAATATTTCTTTCCTTATCTCCTTTGCAATATGATCTACTATTTTCGCAGTAGTTTTTTGAGAATGAAGTCCAACACCCAAGTCTAATCCATTTTTCATTTGAAGCTGAATCTCGTCTTCAACATCAGAAAATGGCCAGCTTCTCCTTGCTAAACTATAGACTGAATTGAAAATTCTATTAGTAGAGTCTATATACATCAATTTATCCATAGCTTTTGTAATTGCATCATCAGCACAATTTTGTAAGCACTTAACACAAATACTGTAAGCCTTTGATAAGAAATGCATATTCATCTTTTTTTCTCAGTGAAGCTTGTTAAACTGTTTTATTCCTTCCAGAATGCTCAAGACTGCAGTGGACCCATTCCATGATAACATGAATTCCTTTCATGTTTATAGATACAGAATAAAAACTGGCACATAGATCGCACCCAATTTTTTTACCGTGAACCATTGTACTTTTCTTTTAAGTTCTCATACTGTTCCATGCTCCAGCATCATGGAAGAGCTAATGCTTCGACTGCTTCATCAGGAAGCAAAATTTTCATTAGTGTCATGCTTTAAAATTGGCTGTGTTTCATCCTAATTTGCCCCTTGTCTGAAATTTCCACTTTTGGGGATTTTTCGAAAAAAGTGAAATAAAACTTGTCTCTTCATTTTCAGTTCCTGATACTGAAATGAAAAAAATTACTCGTTACTCTGAGGAAATTGCTATCTAGAAAGAAATAAAAATTTATTACCTTTGATCTGAAGTCCAATAGAAAAATGTTTAATTTAAACAAATTTTATATTAATCAAAAATTTTAACTAAAAATCTATTTGTAAAATATGAAAACAGCAAAGTATTTGATTGATAAAAATATTGGCCCTAATTAAAAACACTTACTTATGGACAACAAAAAACAAAATATAGTGGACAAAGTTGTACTAATAGGCTCACAAATTATATTATTCCATGTCAAAACTATCATAAATTCCTTTTTGATATAAACATACAAATTCATTTTTATAAAATGTACATTGCAAAAATAATTTTTTAAAAAATTCAATTGCCCACTGTGAGGCCCAAGACGACGACCCTGATTTTGAATAACGCTTACCATGGCTTAGTAGTCACCTTCTTTTTTCAAATTTGACCCCCCTGCTTCACAAAGAAAAATCTTGGCTATCCCCCTGCAAATGCATATTAACCTTTATTCAATCACCTGAATTTACATCCCCTACTGATTATGTGACTACAATTTGTAGACAATCTAAAATTAGCAGTTTTATAAAAATTATGCCATGGTAACATAAAATATTTTTGTGCAAGATATAAAAATTTTGCTTTCCTACGAACTTCAAGTTTGTGTGCCAGACACAAAATTTAGTTGGTAGAAACAGCAATTCACAAAAACAGGAGCAACTTAAGAGACAAAACAACCACTGCCTAAAATCTTAAAAGGAAAAGCACATTTATTTTACAATGTACAAATTTGAAAAGTACAAAATAAGCGGGTTGCACAAAAATTTCCTTTTGTGCAACCCGCTTATTTTTTTTTTTTTTTTTTGTGCGCCTCTTTTGGCAGGATAACAATTTCATGAAGTAACAAAAAAAAAAAAAGATCACCAAGAAAAAATATTTTACAAATTTGTTAGATGAAAAATGGATTCATGTACAAAAACATTAATCTCTCCAAAAATAAAAATAAGGAATAACAAAATGACCCAAGGCATAACATTTTCAAATAGTACCCATTCCCATTTTTAACAGCATACACGAACAGGGCGTCTTAGCTCGAAGGGGTTTTGCGTTATAAAGTTTTTCAAGGGCCTTTTGAGTTAAATGCAAAGTTGACTTGTATCTTATGTGTGAAATATTCTGGTGTAGGAATCTGCCTTGTATCTGTCAGGTCTGATTTATGACCTCCGGCTGAACTGTCCTTTGAAGTGTGGGTGCTATGCTCTCTCTGATCTCCTCAACAACACATTCTTTTACTTCTACTTTTATTGAAAAGGGGACCATCATATCGGCTCCAGCCAAAATTTTCACAAGGCCCAGAAAACTTGTTTCTCATTGGCCAATAATTAAAAAAAAAAAAACCTCTCCAAGTATTCAAAAAAATGAATTAAACAGATCAAACAATTTTGGGGGTTCACCGCTTGAGCCTAAAAGGCCATAAATTTTGCACAAATTTTAACGCACAAACCATCTGCCTTTCAGAAGAATAAACTTTTCTTAAAATGTGTATCAAAAAAAAAAAACAACCTAGATGGTTATACATAAATCTTTAACATTTTTTACAAATAACAAAACTAAAATTTTTATAGTTTATTTGTTCGGATTGCAGCTAGTAACAGGTTTGCTGAACTCATAAAATTCCAAGAACAGATTTGCACAAACCTGTGTGAACCTGCTGAATCCCGCCACTGTACATTTATATATATATATATATATATATATATATATATATATATGCGATGTGCGATGGATAAATTGTCGTCTAAATTACACAAAAATGAAAATAATACTGATATTTCATTTTAACGGATATATTTACCAGAATTACACAAAAATATCTTGAAATACTCAAGAGGGTGGCTGCTGGAAGACCTTATGTCTGGCAACAGGACTCTGCACCATGTCACACAAGCAGGAGAACCCAGTTATGGCTGTCAGACAATTTCTGCAACCACATCATCCCTTACATCTAGCCACCTAACTCCCCAGACTGAAACTTCCTTGATTATTATGTGTGGGCACAGTTGAGCGAGAGACCAACAAAACTCTAGGTAGGACCAAAGATGAACTGAAGTCAAGGATTATGGCAGCATTCACCAACTTAAACAAGGAGACCGTCCAGAAGAGTTACAGAATATTCTGAAGTCATCTGGAGGCTGTGGTTGAAGCCAATGACGATTTTATTGAATAAATTTACTCTTTAGTATATCAAGATATTTTTGTACAATTCTGGTAAATATGTCTGTTAAAATGAGATGTCAGTATTATTTACACGACAATTTATCCCAACACCTTGTAGAAAGATAGACATGAATAGACTGAGATAGATAGATAAATTGATAGATAGATGAATCTATTTTCACAAAACCAATTTAAAATTCCATGTCAAATTCCTAGTCTCCTTTTGGAAAAGTACAGATTGAAAAAAAACATATAAAAATGCTGGAAACTTCTAGACGCACCTAATGCAAAAAAAAATGTTTTTTTTTTAAATATCTGATGAAATCGGAAGAAGCGTGCAGTGATCATAAAAGTGCTAAGCAGATTCATGACTTTAAGGCCTGCATTGTCAGACAAATCCTTACAAGATGAACTTGATAATATATGCTTGAGTCATTATGGAAAAACAATGAATAAAAGTTGTCAGAGTTACCCCGACTCACACTCTCCTATCCAAGACATTTTATCAATCTGCCTGGTGAATTTTTAAGTGCATGGGAAAATCCTTGTGCTTTAAAACAACAAATCAAAACAAATATGAAACATGAACTATATCCTTTTTATCCATGCACTTAGGATAGATAGATAGATAGATAGATAGATAGATAGATAGATAGATAGATAGATATGTATAGACTGAGATAGATAGGTAGATAAATATGAATAGACTGAGATAGATAAATATATATGAATATACTGAGATAGATAGATAGATAGATAGATAGATAGATAGATAGATAGATATGAATAGACTGAGATTGATAGATAGTGTTGTAGCATACCTATGGATGATAATGGGTATGTCCCCATTCACATAAATACAGTAGTAAATACTGTATGTTGGTCTGCAGTTGGAGATTCGTCTCCAGGTGTGCTGGTCAAATTCTCTGCCTCTGAGCAGAGAGGGTCCCAAGAAGAGGCTATGTCAAAGGGTATAGTCTTGTCTTGAGAAACAGCTACTCGACCCCATTTTATACAAGGCCTATGGGGAATTTTTAGCCAAGACTACAGGCCCATATACCCCACATTAAATTCGGCCTTGTGCCACATCTGATTGCGTGGGGCGGTTGGTAGATATCCTGCAGTTGGAGATTTATTGTGGAATTCACATGATTCACTTCTAGTAGTTGACTCTTTCTTCTATGCATTTCTAGTGAATCTTGTATGTGTTGTTCTTGTCCTAAGTATTATCATTCATTACCAACCTTCGTTTGATTATTCCATTCAGTAACCTTCCCTAGGTTACAACAGATAGATAGATATGAATAGACCAAGATTGAAAGATATGAACAGACTGAGATAGATAGATAGATAGATAGATACTGAAGAGATAGATTTGAATAGACTGAGATAGATAGATAGATAGATAGATAGATAGATATGAATAGACCAAGATTGATAGATATGAACAGACTGAGATAGATAGATAGATTTGAATAGACTGAGATAGATAGATAGATAGATTTGAATACTTAGATAGATAGATAGATAAATAGATAGATAGATAGATAGATTTGAATAGACTGAGATAGATAGATAGATAGATAGATTTGAATAGACTGTGAGGAAATCTTAATTTATTTATAAAAGAGATAGCAATAAACCATGATTCTCATTGGAAGAAAAATAATGTCAGCAGATCCTGAATTGTCATGTGGCCATTACTCAGAAACTAGTTACCAAGCCGCCATGCCATCTGCTCTCCTCACATGGATGAAGCCATTTGCCACTTGAAGGATTGCCATCAAGGTGACTAAGGAGTCCCATCAACGATGATTTTGAAATGAAAGTGATCCTCCTCCTAGACAGACTGCCAACCAAGGCTAACAAGCTGTCTACCCAGGTGGCATGTGTGTGTGTGTAGTGTTACAGATAGCGTCTTGGAATGAGAAATCAGAGAACTGTGTCTGAATACCACTTGTGCTCATTAGATTCACTTCCATGCAAATACCCTTGGGAAAGGTATGAATCTATCTCTTCTCCCCTATCTCTGGGTTAAATAGTAAGTTAAACTAGTTGGCAACCAGTCTAGGAGAAGGACAACTCTGAATTCCAAACCACAACTTTTGTTCATGGTCCCCAATGCTCAGCAATGAAGACAGGAAGAAACAAAAGAAAAATCTAAAATAAGCCAGAACTTCCACTCGGAGCAAACCACCGGTATACAGATAGTTTGTTTTATACACATATATTGCACACCAGAATGCTTCCTCAGTGACATCTATTCTGGAGTCATAAAAGGTTTTGGCCACCATGACATCAGTTCCCATCCCTCCCTTGAGCCCAGCCGAGAATGATCATTTCTTGACTAGCATTCTAGTATAGCATCCTTTTAATCAATCTTATGTTCGAATTCTGACCAATCAGGATTTGTTTCTTTTTTTCTTGTAGTAAATACTCAAAAATACAAAGAGACATAAGACAATGGGGTGTCTTCTCACCAGACTTATTCAACCTTTACAGCAAGGGGATCCTAAGAGAACTGGATGTCCTACCAGGATTTATTACTGACAGGCACAATCTTAACAACATAAGGCATGCATGTGGCACTGTGTTGATAGCAGACATAGAAAGACAACTACAAGAACTCCTACAGAAGATAGTTGTTGTGGAGTGATTTCGCATTGGAGGCTTGTATTTGTACTAAGTCGGTCCTAAAATAGGTTCGACGTACAAAACGTTAGGAACTTTATATAATAGGTATGACGCAGAGAAATCCAGTTTGTGGTCACTGATACTTTAGTATCTGACTAACGGTTGTCCGGCATTGACTGAATGACCGACCAACCCACTGAGATATTCAGTCACCCCACCACAAAGGCATCATGTGGCACAAGGCTGGTTTAACGTGGGATCTTTGAGCCCATGGGCTCGGCCAAAAATATGCCCATTTGAACCCGCATAAACGGGTTCAGGGTCGGTTTACCTCCCCAAAAGAGACTCCGCCCTTCAGTGTAGCCTTGTTCGGGTTCCTCCCTGCCCAAAGGCAGAGAGTTCAACCGATCAGCCGGTTGTCCGACTTCAGACTGAACTCAAACCGACCAATTGAGCAATCTGTTACTACTACTACTACTACTTATTATAGGTGGGAGAGTCTATTAACTATAGAATAGGTGTGTTCCACTATAACAATAGTGAAGGAAAGCGAGAAGAAATGTGTAAACATCAATTGCAAGAAGATAAAATGTATGGTTGTCAGCAAGAGAAAACTCCCAAGATGGAAGATACAAATTGAAGATGTCAAAATCAAGCAAATAGAAAAATGTAAATACTTGGGAAATGCTTTAATAGAGAATGGAAAATGTGACATTGAAATTCAGGGACACATTGGAATTGCACAAGATGCCTTACAAAAGCTAAGCAAAGTATTAAGAAGTACTTAAACTTTGTTATAAACAAAAAAAAGACTAACTGCCATGTAATATCAATCCTCTTTATATGGCAGTGAATGCTGGACAAAAAAATCAAGCATATATGGATTCAAACTTGAAAAAAATAACAAAACCCCTGCACTAATTGGGACTAGGCACCTGCCAGGCTACAGAAAACGCCAGATGACAGAAATCACCCCCTAACAAAAAAAAAAAAACAACCACCCTATGTAAAAATTGTCTTGCCAGCTCATTCCACTTATTGCTGTAATATTGTTGGGATTGCTATGAGTTTGAATTTGTTATCAGGTTTTTATATTAAGATGGTTAGTTTACGGGCATATTCACCATATTAATCCACAACAATATAGAATATAGACATTCAAAAACGAATCAGTCACAAGGCAATTGAGTAAGAAACACCGATTATGAGATTTCAATAAAACAACATGCATTTATGTACAATTAATATACAATTTGAAAACTTGTAGTTTGATAATGCAAGAAATTGACCATTGATAAATTGGGTTTCTTATTGATTTACAGTTCGAAATTGTTCAAGTGTTTAAGAACTGGTCAAACAGAGTTAAGTGGAAAATATTATTTATACAGAAATTTGTGTAGTTTGTATGCATGAATAAAGTAGGAGTTTAATTGTCTAAATTCTCCAGAGTTGTTTACCTTGGATTGTTTAGATATTTGATTAAATATTTACGAATACTTGTTAGTAGTGAGTTATTGTCACTTTTTAGTATTGTAAGAAATTGTTCCTGGTAGAGCGAAATGCTGCGTGTGTTGAGTCAGAGAAATTTACACGGCAAAAATGTAGCTGATTATGATTTTTATTGGCGTGAATTCGTTTGGCACTTCTCCAGGATGAAATTCTGACTGCCTGAATCGATCTGAAAGCTTCCTTTTTATTTTGTTCTGAAAGTAGGAATTGGCTCCAAAGGACTAGGCACGAAAAGATATTTTGCGTGAATTTGCTACAGTTTGAGCCAATGAAAAGTCTAGTTCACTGGAACTAGGGTGTTGATTGGTTAATAGGTAATTTTGTGGTAGAGTGTATTATTCTGGAGGGGTAAAAAGGTATGTCTGGACTATTCCATCAACATGAAAGGTAGAACAAAACTTAAAACAATTATTAATGCTTCCAAAAATTCTGAATGGGTAAATATGCAGTAATATATAAGATTATGAATCAAACAAGACTATATCACCAAAACACTCTGCTGCAGTTTCAAACAACGTGTGGTACTGCCCTTGTAGCCGCTTAACGAATTAATGGCAAGTGATTCAAAAAAGACTTCGAGGTTAATCTAAACAAATACAACTCCTATCACCGTCATAAAGTGCCTTCACAATATATTAAAAGAACAAAAAATAACTGTTTGTGGGGGAGAGAGAGAGAGAAAAAAAAATGAAACAAAACTAAGGGAAATAACTCAAAATATTTTCTACGAGTTACTTCCCTTAGATTAATACTGTTACATTCAAAAATAATGTTTTGCGACCTTTTCCACAAACTTTATTTTCATACACATACATACATTGTTGACCACAATTTTGACATAAAAACTAAAACTATAAAGACGAAAATGTCTGCAAAATGCTTTAATCGCTTGTAAGTTCAGCCCCAGTAAATTTATGCCCAGGTTCTTACAACGTTTCGCCATTCTTGGCAAGTCATCTGTTATCATAAATTGGGATATTTAATAACAAAGATGATGGAAAGAAAAAGAATCTAAATGATTAAAGATTATATACCCAAAACTGAAAACACATTAAAAAAATTCTAAATTTAAAATTTCCAGCATCTCTCTTTCAACATAAACAAATCTATACCATTTCAAATTTAATTTAGGACTAATCAAAGTCATTTTGGAACAAAGCAAGTTCAGAAGGAAATAACCATGCTTAAAATGGAATAGTCAAATTCAAAATGGGACATAGCAAATTCCAAATGAGATAGTCAAATTCAAAATATGAAGTAGCAAGTTCAAATTCAAAACGGAATATGCAAATTTCATTTGGGGCTTAGCAAGTTCAAAATGGATTAGGCAAATTCAATTTAGCAATTATTTTGCTAAAAAAGACTTTAAAATTAAATATTTTCATGATAAAATAATAATGTCCACCTAAACTTTACTACTGAAATATTTTATCTTCTAGGATCAATCAATAAATCGAGAAAATTCATGAAAGGTGTATGTTTTTTGGATGCAACTTTCAGCACTTAAAATCTTTCACTATACCTATCTTTTTTCAAACTCTGTCTTGATATATGCATTCAGTATTTCTTTGCTGCTTTTTCTTAGGACTTTTAGGATTTGCCCTGTTGTCCCCCAAATCATTTCATTTTGAATAACTCTCTCTCTTTTTTAATACTATATACAGTCTATCTCTTTCTTTCTTTCTTTCTTTCTTTCTTTCTTTCTTTCTTTCTTTCTTTTCTTCTCCCTAATTGTCTTACCAATGAAAGTGCCAGAAACTCTAAATTTGACACAAATTTATCAGTTCAAGTATAGCTCTTGTAACGAAATGATAGTAAAATCTACGCAACATTGCACTCCGATTTTTAATTATCTGATTTAATGTCCAGTTGATTTCTTAATCCATGATATTTGTTTATTGAAACGCGCAGATAAGTTTGAAACATTTTTCCATAATGAATCAGCTTAGTCCCAATTCAAACTTGCTTATTTCATTTTGAATTTGCTACGTCCCATTCTGAACTTGGCTATTTCATTATGATCTTGCTTAGTACCAAAATGACTTTGACTAGTTCCAAATTTAACTTGAAATGGTAAAGTCTGATGAAGTCTTAATGGATGAAACATGTCACCCAAAAACTTTTTCTTTTCGTCACACATTTTTCCTCTAAAACAGTTCTTGATATATAAAAATTTATATATCATTCTCCTGTATCTGTGGCAAGTTAATCACTTGGGTTCATTTCATGTAACACAAGAGCCAATTGCATTTGAAACAAACAAAACAATTTCTCAGCAGAACAGAATATTTGTTCCTTCTTTACTTTGAATAATTTGCAATTCAGGCTGACAAATATTTCAGACTGAATCATTTTTAGGCAGAAAGGCACTAATAAGAATAAGAAAATATAAGAATAAGAAAATATAAGAATAAGAATAAGAAAATATAAGAATAAGAAAATATAAATATTAAGAAAATATAAGAATAAGATTAAAAAATCTAAGAATAAGAAAATATAAGAATAAGAAAATATAAGAATAAGAATAAGAAAATATAAGAATAAGAATAAGAAAATATAAGAATAAGAATAAGAATTAGAAAATATAAGAATAAGAATAAGAATTAGAAAATATAAGAATAAGAATAAGAATTAGAAAATATAAGAATAAGAAAATATAAGAATAAGAATAAGAAAATATAAGAATAAGAATAAGAATTAGAAAATATAAGAATAAGAATAAGAATTAGAAAATATAAGAATAAGAATAAGAATTAGAAAATATAAGAATAAGAAAATATAAGAATAAGAATAAGAAAATATAAGAATAAGAATAAGAATTAGAAAATATAAGAATAAGAATAAGAATTAGAAAATATAAGAATAAGAATAAGAATTAGAAAATATAAGAATAAGAAAATATAAGAATAAGAATAAGAAAATATAAGAATAAGAATAAGAATTAGAAAATATAAGAATAAGAATAAGAATTAGAAAATATAAGAATAAGAATAAGAATTAGAAAATATAAGAATAAGAAAATATAAGAATAAGAATAAGAAAATATAAGAATAAGAATAAGAATTAGAAAATATAAGAATAAGAATAAGAATTAGAAAATATAAGAATAAGAATAAGAATTAGAAAATATAAGAATAAGAAAATATAAGAATAAGAAAATATAAGAATAAGAATAAGGTAATTACCCCAGTGAGCGAAATAAAGGGTTCAGTTCAACATTCCAACCACCTGAAGAAGGCCAGAAACATTGGGATAAATATGGAGTCCAAATAATGTAAATAGTGTACATAATGCCTCATCTCAGATATATAGATGGATACATAAGTCTTTGTACAATGATGTTTAAATTGATATAATTAAACATGTGCATAAAGGGATGCTGAAATCTTAAACTTTAAAATTTTTATTTTTTTTAAATATGTGTTTGGGTATATAGATTTCAAACCATTTTCATTTAATTTCTTTTTCTTTTTGTTTATATTTTTATCCCATTTGTTGTTATAATTTGTTAAGAAAAGTGAAATGATGGAAGGAGTTGATCGCAAATTTAATGTGGATGTTCTAGTGATTAAAGCACTTTCTATACATTTTTGTCTTCGTAAATTGCTTTCTCTTTTAATTAGAGACGAATTTTTAAAATCAAAATTATGATCAGTGAGCACATAACGCATTGAGAAAGCAGTTTGGGAGAGTGTATGTGAATGTGCATGTGTGCATGTGTATATGTATGTGCAGTTGGGAATGTGTGAGTGCATGTGTGTGTGAGAGTGTGCATTTTCCCATGTGAAAGAAAGTGTGTGTATATATGCATGTGTGTATGAGAGAGCGTGTATTTGGGAATATAAAAGTGTGTGTGTGTGTGTGTGTGTGTAAGAGAGAGAGAGAGAGAGACAGACAGTATGATAGTGTTTAATTGATTCATTCATTGATTTTCTATGGTGTATCAACCCCTTGCAGGTTATTTAAAGCCAGAAAATATATTTAGATCATATGATTTTTTTTTTCCTTTTTTGGTGGGGTATATAATAATGATTTAATGATACAAGTCTTACTAATTAACCCATACCTGAGGGAAGAAGAGGGGGATTCATATCTTTCTCAAGGGTAAGTCTAAACAGGAATTTGAACTCGGCTCTCCAATTCACAAATCCAAACCATTATCCATTACACCAGCCACACATCCAAGCTTAGAGCACCTGGTCTTCCCAAGTGGTTACACTGGGAACCAGTGTTTTAACATGATGTGGCCATAAGCCCATTGTGTATGTTAGAGCGTGTGTGTGTGTGATAGTATAAGAATGTGTATGTGTAAACATGTGTGTATGCATGTATGTGTGAGCAAGAGAGAGAGTGTATAAGAGTGTGCATGCATGTGAATGTATGTGTGTGTATAAATACCTTCTTCTTTAGCTATTTGTGTTGATTTTGAATTTGCCTCGTCAAAGTTATTTCCAAATATTTCAACTTCTGCTCCCTGAAAAGAAAAAAAAAATGTAATTAAAATCAATTTAGCCTGACATTCTTTACAGACTTTCTGGTCCATCAGTATATAGATTATTGGCTTGGAGACAATAAAACCTCTAATTCATTTTTAAAATTTATTAAGTAATTAAAAGCTTTACAAGCTGTTTTAAAAGCCATTTATGAATACGCTTGGATATGAAAAAAAAAATCTACTCTCAAACCGAACATTTTCTTAAAATAAACAATATTGTACTTGTAAAATAAATCCATATAAAAGTTTAATTTTATCTCTTGTTTGTGATCTCCTTTTATCTGCTGTGTCCTGGTCGATCATGGCTCTCCACATTTTCCAACCCTTTGTAGCTTTTAGTAAGGTTTATTTTTATACTATATTTCCCACACTCCGTTATGCCATCCATTTACTCAAGCTTTTTAGGCAGGTTACTTCCCTGTGTCCCTCATGCCTTCAAGATGTCATGTGAGTGTCAAATTCTCTAAACCTTCCTTTCTCATTATGTGTCCTAGAAATTTCAACTGTCTCTTTCTGATTTTATCCTTTTTGTTTCCATTTTCTTTAAAAACGTTTTTGCTGTGTGACAACGTGCTCTGCTCATCCATCACTGCACTACCTGATTCTACCATGTCGTCCCCAGCCCCTCAACCTCCGATGTCTTTTGGGTTGAGGTGTCCACTTGGTCTGAACCGAACTTAGGGGTAACTGGCCATACGCTCCCTGTGTACCCGTAGATTATTCTGACCGATCAACTGATCAAGTCCTGCTCGCTGTCCACGCTGTGTTAGTTTTTAGATCCAGTAAGCGGGGTGTTGTCCATACGTTCACGGTCAACTGGGGATGTGGACACGGCTGTGAGAGTTGGCGCTAGGAAGTTTTAGAATGTGGCAAAATAAAACAAGAAATAATATCTGCAGAAGCCAGACAACAATGGGGGAAATAGTGACATCTTTTATATAAAAAGATAACATCAGAACAGAGGTTACAGGGAGAATAAAAACATTTAACATAAATGAGAAAAGAAAAAGAAAAGACAAAATGGATCCAGCGAATTCCCAACAGAGAGAGGGTTTGTGTGTGATAAACACGTATTGAATCACCTGGGGTAGGTTTATGACTAATAGTCCAGTCTTATACAGACTTCTCAGAACAGGGGTTAGTTTTCTCTCTCTCCTCCAAAATTCTCCCACAAAAATTTCTCGACTCATTGTGACGATAGTCTTGTGACTCTCTCGACTACAGTCTCTTTCCCCGACTCTGCTTTATTAGCAAAATCTCAAGTTAATATAGAAAAAGGATTACAACTGACCCTCGGCCCGGCACGCAGCTGCCACGAGTGCCAAAAACTATCCCTTGAGATGTAAACCGATTCTCCAATTATTTACTTTATCTCAATCACGAGTTCTTCTTGTTTCACCAAAATTATACTTTGGGATATCTAAACATTGATTCAACCTTTTAATCAAAACAAATACTGTTAAACAACACCAAGTATCTCGCCCATCCACATTGTTTACTTGTGACCCAGGTTTAAAACATCACTTCCTGCCCTGAGATCGTGTTTCTCATCAGTAAACACACATCTTAACCCAAATTGTACTTTGATATATAAACACTGTTTCCATTTCCAGTCAATAAAAGTTATATTTGTGTGTGTGTGTTCGTGTGTGTGTGTGTGTGTGTGTGTGTGTGTGTGTGTGTATACCTCTCTCTGTTACAGATGACATCCAACTTTGGCTGTGTCTGCAAATACACCTTACTAGCTATGTCCACAGGTTTGTCCACTTGGCCAGAATCGAATTCACAAAGAATAATGATGACAATTGCTTTTCAAGACTCTCGGGTTGAGAAATAGAAACAATACAAATTCTCACTTAGCCAGCTATCTTTCCTTCAGCTGAATTGCTATCTCCTTGGCGGCTGGGCAGCTAGTGACTCACTGGTCACCAACCTACTTCTCTGACTACTGAACCCTTTTCTCCTGAACTTCCTGCTTATATGGATAATGGCTGGGGTCCTGCCATCTCAATCCATCCCTTTGTGTTTCAAAATTAAAGACCAACCAAAAGCCAGATGGGTAGTCAAATCTTCAAAAGATTCTACTTTTATGATTATCTAAAATCATTAATAACATTTTATGTTTGCCAATTCAAAGGCCACTGGAGACGAAAATCCAAAAAAAAACACTGAAACTTAAGTTCACTCAAAAGATAGACTGGAGACGACTTTCCTAAGAAACTCAGATAACTAAATGGACTTAAAAGGAAAAGGAATTTATCTACTTATCTTCTAAGGATGTGTGAGAAATTGTATTGTTACAGTTGTTTACATGTTCTATGATATTCTCAACATCTTTCTGTAGAACTATATTTCTGATGCCTTAAGTTTCCTCTTCATCTATAAATAAGTTGTTCAGCATTCACTGTCATACAGGAGGATAGATAATACTTAGCAGTTCATCACATTTATCATGATATCTTGTTTCAAGTCTCCTCTTCATCTGTAAGGAAGTGAAGTCTATCATCACTGAGCAGACCCTAAATTTTCACCTATTGTGATAAAAGCGGGGACTCTCAGGGAGGTCTCATGTCTTGAGCACCTATAGTGAGTCCCAATAAAGATGAAATATATAAACAAAAATGAAAAAAAAATTAAAATAAGGGATTTGCACTTTGCTTTGAAACCCTTATCTCTTTCTTACTACTCTTTCTCTCTAAACTTCTCCTTCTAAACTCAACTAAACTCTTCTCCCTAACTAACTATTTACTTTATTTGGTCTACTGTTCTCATCTTTGTCACTATATTTATTACAACGTTTCAGCCGTATGCTCCGGACTTCTTCAGTATCTTTCTATATTTCTGAGATGAGGTATTATGTACACTATTTACATTATTCACATTATCTTCGAACTGAACTCTTTATTTCACTCACTGGGGTAGACTATTCTAGTTCCACATGCCATGTTTAATGAATGTCAGTTACCAGTTATCTCCTGTCCAAGTTCTCCACTGCCTTAACTGGGTCCTGCTGCTGGATCTAACCAACGCCTTTATCCACTGTGCCATGTGTCCTTGAGGACATCTGTGTATGAATTTCTGGGTAATATAAACCAAATGTCTTCAGCAACCTCTTTACCAGAGCTCATATGCAATTTTTGTTGTTATTATCGCTTTTCTCTGTCACTCCTTGTTACTGGTTCCCATATTGTATTCATTTCTATGCTTGAGTTCAGTTTGACATTCCAACCACCTGAAGAAGGCCGGAGCGTACAGTGGCTGAAAGGTTATAATAAATATGCAGACAAAGATGAGAGCAATAGTCCGAATAATGTAAATAGTGTACATAATACCTCATCTCAGAAATATAGACAGATACAAGAAGGAATCCACAAATAAAAAGAGGAAGAAGAAGAAAAGACTGAATCTAGCCAAAAACGCCACAAGTTTACAGGAGCAGAGCTTACTTATTGGTGACTGAAAAATACCAAAAATCAGGTAGGCTCCATGCAAAACTTACATTAAAAAAAATATGAAAAAGAAAGGAATACTGGAATTTTTCTTACTTATTATAAAACGCAGATTGTGTGTGTGTGTGTGTGTGTGTGTGTGTGTGTACGTTTATATATTGGATTGGATTTCCTACATTTTTCAACCGATTTCAACAAAACTTCACAGGACTACGTAAAATTACCTTGTGCTGGTTTTGACAGCACCAAAAATTGGAAAAACCCAATAGTTTTTGCATGAAATCAATTTGAAAACACAATTAAGAGGCATTAATGGAAAAGGGACAACTCATATGGAGTTATACTTATTAATATCAAGTTATACTTATTACAAAACCCAGGTTGGTTGGTTGGTTGTGGGTGTGTGTGTGTGTTCATTTATATATGGGATCAGATTTCCTACATTTTTCAACGATTTCAACAAAACTTTTTTTTGGTGGGTAGTGTTTCTTATTGTTTTGCACACTTTTTTCTTTATTTTTACATCCAGAATGCTTTAAAAATTCCATTTACAAGACAATTGTTTATAATAAAATTCTATTCAATCGGTAGACTCATAATGATTGAAAACAATGTTTTTGTTTGAGTTTGGATTTGACCAATTCATAAAATAAAAAAAAAAAAAACTAATTAAGACATGTGTGTCCGTCAACCTTAAACAATAATCTTTGTCAATTTTATTTTTCAGTCTTTATGATGGTCGATACTTGATCTATCTCTTACAGTTACATCCCCGTGCAACGCCAGGCTCTACTGCTAGTATGAAATAATTTGGCTAATCAAAAAAATCGCAGACTTTTTGACGTTCACACCTAATACTTGAGCTTATTCATAAGTATAAAAACCTGATACCTCTAGACCAAGAGACAGAGAGAAAATCAAAATGACCCCAGGAGAGGTTGGAAAAAAGAACATAGCCATGCGTGACATGGTCATCTTCTACTGACATTTCCACCCTCTTTCAGAGCCAAAAAGAACACAGCAGATCGACATCTGACCTAATTTCTAACATTACTACTACCCCTACCGTGGTGTTACTTCAAACTACTGAAACCGACATTTCTTCAGACTGCTATCAATATCTGCTTTGTTAATTAGCCATTTTGCTATGCCGAATACCAGAGGAATCACTCATCACTTTAAAGAAAATGAATAAAAAATATATTATCTATTTTTAACTCTCGAGTTAGTTTGTTTTATGTCCTATATTTCCGATAAACATCACCAAGAATATCTACAGAACATATATGCCACCCACCTTTTGGGACTTAGTTCATATTATCCATCATGGGGTAGATTGTTCTAGTTCCACGTGCCATGCCTCTTCCAGATATCTCAGTATCAATTATTTCCCTTTAACAGCCCTCCAAGTTTTGTTCACCTCTGCTGTAGCCAGGTATTGAACTCACAACTTTTTGGGTCAAGTCACTGGATTACTTCAACCAACGATTTTATCTACTGGGCCATGTGTCCTTTTTGGCATGTGGAACT